CTTATATTTACGACTACCACCAAGAATATGTCGCTTCACTTCGAAATGAATTCAAAAGGGTTGTTACAATAATTTCTGCCATTGCTTTCCTTGTATATTTAGTAGATTTAACTGTGAATGCTTACTAAGCAGGTCAGGCCAATCAAACTAAATCATTACGAATGTTGCTAAATCAATATTTGCAAGTCATTTTGCGTCAGAATTACGTGTTTTAAGTGGTCACTTGTGCCTGTCAAAAGCAATGAATAGCTACCATTTTGAGACAATTTTTTTAACCATTTCGTTTTAACCTCTGGTTTGGCTAAGTGAAACACGATCATCGGTCAACGGCCTCAGACAATACCGAATTAACGAGAACTAGTGTGTTGATTTCATCTTTAAGTTCTTCTTCATGGATAACACTGGGAATCAATAATGAAGCTGCGCAAGTTCCTTTTCTCTTTTTGTTTGCTATGACAACGACAAATAGTCGATGCATTGAGACCTTGCCGGCCAATAGATACATATATATTTATTTCCCCCCAAAATATAGATCCACGATATCGACTCATGATAACTTTTTTGCAGATGATGCGTACTGTAATTCAATAAAAGCGCTACAAATAACACATATATGCCAAAATGTAAAGGAAACACCCGTAAATTTCTGTAGAAATTCTCAGTTAATGAGGTTTCGGAGTTTACATAACTTATAAACATTAATAACTGAATAGATCCAAACTAACCTGGAAATATGATTTGCCGTCCTTTACCCAGCCGATTACAATGTCAGCGCCTTTCATCTTTCCCTGCCCACTGGAAATTCCGAACCCTATCCATCCAGTCGTGTTGGCTTCCACGGTGAAAAAGATTTCTTTGTTTTTAATACTGACGTTCCAGTACAGTTTAACATTTTGGTCTTCATCCAGTGCAGCAAAGAAGGAATGTTCTGACAACAGATCAGCCGAAGCTTGCAATGTTAACGAACACAGGAGGATGATTTGTAGATGTAACATCTTGCTTTGTCAACTCGTCCCGAAGCCGTGGGCACTGAATTCACCTTGTCAGCTTTGAATAATTTAAAGGTTTTCTAAAACTGAAAAGTGTTAGGGAAATGATGCAATCAGTAATAAATATTCATGCGCTCAAACGGGTAGGTATACGCCAAAGTATTTTGAATATATCAACTAAGTTGAAATGGTAAATTGGCCACTGTTACAATTATAAAAGCTGACGTTTCGAGCGTTAGCCCTTCGTCGGAACGAATAGAGGAATTGTGGGTTGTGTGGGCTTTAAGGGTTGTGTTCTGCCTTTAAAAGCGCACACAACCTACAATTCCTCTATTCGCTTCGACGAAGGGCTAACGCTCGAAACGTCAGCTTTTATAATCTTAACGGTGGTCAATTTACCATACGACAAAGTAGGCAGGTTTAATTTAACATACACAGGATAATAGCCATGCGATGTGGATTATAATATTGGCTTGTAAGAATGGGCTGGCAATTATCCTAATAAATTATTCAATCTAATAATTATCAGCCCGGGCATGAATTCTTC